TTGTCTAGTTTCTGTTTAAAATACTTATTTTAAACTCTTTATTATGAACATTCTAAACAAAAGTAGGAAAAATATTGTATGTGCCCATTATGATGAACCCCTGCCATATCCCATCATTCAGCATCAGCACCGTGAACTTTTTGCTTAGCATAAGGACAATTCTTAATAAATTTTGGGTGCATTATCTTTATTACTCCTATATATAGCAAATATTGCTTTCAAATTCCCATCTGTGCCATTGTCTACTCTGTTTAACTTCTTTTTTCTTACCTAAATGGTCTTCAGGGACTTTTTAGTCAGCACCCATTGTCATTTAACTCTCTTTCTGTCCTGGGAAATGTATGAACCAGCAGCCTGAGAGCAAGAGGCCAGTTATGGGTTTTTTGGTGCTCTGCAGCAACCTCAAAGTTGATTTGAAGATTATAGTAAAGATTGATAAAGGATATTATGATACATGGTTTTGGTTCTAGTTTTTAAGGACTTTGTTGATTGCACATATTGGGGTGCTCATGGAATACCCCGGCTTAATCATAAATACAAAATTTATCATCTAGCTGTAGAAGTATCTCACAAAACCCCAGGACAGGAATGCAGTCAGACTTCTAGAAAGAACTTTAAAAGTCATCAGGATTCTATTTTTCATCTCTATTTCTTTTTATGTGAATGTTCCATTCTTCTCTCTCAATATAAACCAATCTGTACACTTAAGTCAGCTTCATCTCTCAAGCTACTCCAGATAAAATATGTTTTAAATGAAAAGTGTACTTAGTAGCAGCTTCAAGCCACGTCTTGTAACATTACCACCTCAGACATACTCTACCTTCAAATATGATTGTGATTCCAAAATCTCTATTAAACAGAAATTGTATAGCTACCACTATTCTGCTCCTCAGTCCATGTGGTAGGGCATGACTACTAGTAACTTCTAGATTATATGCATTACCATCTCAGCAACCCAGAGTCATTAAAAATTACACACTCCTGGGAAGTAAAAATCCTTCATAGATCTAGCTTGGGCCAGAGGTCCTCTTTTAAACAAATCACTTATTATTGGAGGTGACAAGTCAGGGATATGATGTATAAAATATCTGTTGAACCTACTATGCATGTGAAAGGTGGGCGAAATAGTCCGATTATTATTGTTCTGTACATATTGGAAATATGTGTGTCTGCAGACTCCAAACAAGGAGATGAAAGATTGCTAAATTCTCATCTATCAAGTAGGAAGTTAGATAATGTTTAAAATAAAAACTAAAGAAAAACAAAATTGGATTGTTATTTAGAGATACTGAGGTAAATACAAAAGATGTAACTAAACTGTTGAAGGAAATTGCCTCAAGAAGGGGAGATGACAGGGAAGAACACAGATGGTGTCTTACCTTAATAATCTTCTAGACCTAGTCAGCTCTTCAAACTGTGTGATGTATGGCTTTGCCAAAAACAGACATTTTAACTAAAACTGTTTTCTTAATTAAATATATGTCTTCTCACCTGACATTTCCACTTTTAGGAATTGCCCCTAATGGAGTAGTTGTAATAAAGGATACACAAAAATGTTCATTGTAGTATTGTTGTAAAAGTTAAAAATTGGAGGGAAAATCAAAATGTATTTCATTAGAGTTGGTGAAATAAATTATGCATTACTTTGCAGCTACTGAAATGATGATGTAGCTTTATGTAAGTATGGAAATATGTTCATAAGATGATATTATGAAAAATGCATATTTTATAATTGATATATTTACTCAGCCATAAAAATGAAATCTTGCCATTTGCAGCAACACAGATGGACTTAGAGATTATCATACAGAGTGAAGTAAGACAGACAGAAAGACATATTATATGATATCATTTATATGTGGAATCTAAAAATAATAGAAATAAATTTATTTATAAAACAGAAACAGACTCACAGACTATGGTTACCAACGGAGTAGGGGGGGATAAATTGGGAGTATAGGATTAACAGATACACACCACACTATATAAAATCAATAAACTACAGGGCTTTACTGTACAGCACAGGGAACTATATTTAATATCTTATAATAACCTATAATGGAAAAGAATCTTAAGATATATATATATATAAATATGCATAATTGAATCACTTTGCTGTACACCTTAAACTAAAATATTGTAAATCACCTATATACTTCAATAAAAAAAACAAGAAATTGTATATTATAATTCCATGTATATTTTTGTCTAGTTTTTTTTAAATGTGAGTTATATACATTTTAAAAGTCTGGAAACCTGCTAAAAATGTTAGCCGTGTTTCATCTGGGTAGTGGAATTACTGGTATTTATCACTTTCTTCCTTGTTCCTTTTTTTAATTGTCTGAATCATGACAGTGAGCATGCATTGCTCTTATAATTAGGAAAGGTAATAAGCCTTTTTTAATTTGTATGCCAGTTGTAATAGTCATAAAAGAAATACTGGTTTTTCTGAGCAGTGAATGTGGATAGTTTTCAATTAGGTAAGGGATGTTCAGGGAACATTCTATAGACAGGTTGATTTCCAAACAGAATTTTATGACTAAATTTTCTTTTTAGGCTATATAGATTACTATATTGGTAATTTTTCCTTTCTGCCACATAGAACTATGTTCTATAAATAGTGGCTGAACTTAGCACAAATTAAATAAGTAGAAATTTATAATTTTTATATTGTTTTATTAACTTAGAGGTCATAACAGTCTTCTAGTTAGAAACCTTATTTTAGGTGACTAGGGGGAAAAGACAGTGTTTCAAATATTTTAATGTCATTTTTTTATATTGGACACTTTCTAAAGTAGATAAAATAATCCCCAAGGTCATGTTTTTCTTCCTATCTTTTGTCACTACAAGAAGTAAGAAGAAACTAGAGAGAATGGTCTGAACCTTGAATTTGAATTTTCCAGATTTTAATGCTTCACACTGAATTATCTCATTTTCTAAATTTCACAACTCTATAAAATGATTAGAACAGATACCGGTTCAATTTTCAGAATTTCAGGTGTCTAAGATCACAATTTCAAAAGCAAAAGAGGAAGAACTTGGTTCCTAGACCAGTTCTTTTTCCACTAATGACAATACCTTGGATTTTGCTGTCTTTGTATTTATAATAAATTTAGTTGTGCTTTCATTTTTTAAGCCTTCACCACAGCCCTTTTTTGTAAGGGCCAACCCCATCATTTCCTTTGCATTCTGACCCATCATCCTTCAAACTTTTCTCCCATAGGTTCTCACTGCTGTGTTTCTGGAACGTGCTGTCCGTATTTCTGTGTATCTCTTTTACCTTATTTACTTGTTTGTTTTCGCAATAAAATACAGGCAGTCCTCACATTGCACAGTAGTGCGGGGCTGTAAAAATAGCTATGCAAGCTGAACCCGTGCAAAGCCAGCTTGATAGTTAGTGGGGAGAATTGTTTCCATGACCTTTAAAATTTTTATCAAAACATTAAAATTTCTTATGCTTTCTTTTATAAATATGTAAATATATAAGGAAATGAAAAATCAGTAAAACTAACATTGATTTAGTATCCTATAATTCAAAATGCTAGAAGCATTGAGAATTTAGTGTTTTATTTCTTTGTGAAAACTTATCACAGGTAATTTCTGAACAGTGCTTGTCTCCTTCTTGTCTTATAACTTAAAAATTTGAATTTCACTTCCAGTACTGTCCCTTTTTGTTTCTTTGCTGCATTTTTAACTTTTCTGGCCAATCCCCTCTTTAGATTATCCATTTTCACTGGATGAAAGTGACTGGACTTGCCACTGGGAGACAAGGGAGCAATAGTACATGCTTTGCTGTCTCTAAATAAACTGTAACAGATGCACCATGACAGATCAGCAGTAGACTTTGAAAGAACTGATGTGGTTGGTCACTGATCATGATGCGTATTTATTGTCTATGTAGTGATTTTCAGACTGATGGGCTAGCAACAAATTTTTTACATTATGTAATTATTCACAATTAATATGTTGTGGTAGCTGAAATTTGAACCATGTTGTTAGGAGACTGGTGTTATTTAACTGAACTGTGGTAACTGAAATTTGTGAGCATCTGCAGAGTGCAAAGCAAGGACTGGCTTCATCTATGCCCCTTGAGATCATTAGTCTTTCTGTATGTCTATATAATAGGACATCGGGGGAAAGTTGTCAGTGAAGAAGAAAAAGATAATGTCTTCATGGAAAAGCAAGATTTCTACTTCTATTTTTTTAATGGGTGAATGAATGGATAGATACTTTTCTATATGCAGTTTTAGTTCTGCTGTACAATCTATATAGATGAATTTCTGTGCCTTACTTCCAGAGAGCCATGTGCACATGTGAAACCTTATTTACATTAAATTGCAGGCTGACCTCTGTGTCCCTCGATTAAATGAAGGGGACCAAGTTGTACTGATCAATGGTCGGGACATTACAGAACATACCCATGATCAGGTTGTCCTGTTTATTAAAGCTAGCTGTGAGAGACATTCTGGGGAACTCGTACTTCTAGTTCGACCTAATGGTAAGTACTCTATGTAACACTAGATATTTTTCATAACTCATTAATATTTATTACTAGACAACGCAGCCAGAGTGGGCTTTTTAAAACATATGTCATGTCAGTTTCTTGTTTAAAGCATAGCATACTGGCTTCCATATATACTTGGAGTATATAAAAATTCTTGGCTGCCTTGCCTACCACTCAGCCTTCCTCACTCTCCTGTCATTTGTGCTGGCTTTCTTGATGTTCTTTCTGCCTAAAATACTCGTCTTAATTTTTGTATGACTTATAACTTCATTCAGGTCCCTGCTCAGACGTCATCCTCAGAAAGCTCACTCCTGACTTCTATAGCTAAAATGGCCTCCCTCTCCCCCAGCTGCTCCAGAAGTAGTGGCAGGCACTCAGTGTACACTTTCTGAATGAATGAGTAAAGTCTGAATTCTGTTCCACTTTTGGAAAACTCTATAACGAGCTATAGTTAAGTTTCCACTTAGAACCTCAAGAATATCCTTACAACATGGAGCACTCAGTGGTTCCTGAAGCAGTTCATTCCCCCTTTGGGTAGCTTGAGTTATTAATTGACCTAAAAATCCATCTTCCTTCAATTCTATTCCCAAATCTATCACTTTGTGCTGTGCAGAATAAATTTAATGCAGAATAAGTTCAATCTCTCACCAGTTTTTAGAAGGGATTTACCAGAAACTGTCTCCTTTGTCTAATTCAGCAATCCTGGATCCTTCAGCTAGTGTTCATCCTGGCATTGTTCCAAGTTCCCTCAACACTCTACCATTCTTCTCTGAGAAGAAATTCTTATATGCCCATACCTCCTAGCATTAGACATATTCTTCTAGTTTTGTTCTGAACAATTTACTGTTAAGCAAAGTTAGCCACGAGAGTAATTATTGGTTAATGCCGTGTTGCCAGTTGTTGATGGTATACCATAGGGAGGAAAAATGTAATTAGAACTCTACCTATTCCCCCCACACACCCATTTTGCCTCTTGGGTACAAACAGATATTTTCATTTTATCTTCTCTACAGGCATACCTTAGAGATTTTGCAGGTTCCCTTCCAGGCTGCCACAATAAAACGAATACCACAATAAAGCGAGTCACATGAATTTTTTTGGTTTCCCAGTTCATCTAAAAGTTATGTTTATACTATTCTGTAGTCTATTAAGTGTGCAATAAATAGCATTATGTCTAAAAAAACGATGTAGATACTTTAATTTAAAAAGTTTATTGTCAAAGAATGCTAACCATCATCTAAGCCTTCAGTGAGTCATCTTTTGCAATAGTAATATCAAAGATCATTGATCATGGATCACCATAACAAAATAATAATGAGAAAGTTAGAACTATTACAAGGATTATCAAAATATGGCACAGAGACACAAAGTGAGCAGATCCTGTTGGAAAAATGGTATCAGTAGACTTGCTCAATTCAAGGTTACCATAAACCTTCAATTTGTGAAAAACACTGTATCTGAGAAACACAGTAAAATGAGGTATGCTATGCTTTGTGCTTTTCAGCATTCATGATCTAGAATTGGCTTTCTAGGAAAAAAAAAGACTTCAATAGACCATTCTATTTTAACTTTTAAAGGAATGCATTCATTTAGATCTGATAGTTAGGTGATTCATTTTTAGGCATTTTTCTGTCACATAAAGCAACTTAAATTTCATACTAAGAATAATCTGTCAATTGGGTTTTTCTGTTTTCCTATAATAATAATAGCTAATAGTTATTAAATGTTTTCCATACACATGATCTCTTTTATATATTCTCATTTAATCTGTATAGCCATCCAATGAGATAGACGAAGTAGACCCACTCTATAATTGAAGACATGTAGGCACCGAGACATTCAGTTATCTGCTCACAAATTCATGACTAGTACAGAGGCAGAATATGAACAAAAGTCTATATAATGGAAAAAGCATGGCCTTTTTGCAATTTCAATCACCCCATTCATACTTCAAATTATGAGAGGAACCCACCTAGGGCCTACTTTTTTAGCAAAAGATCTTTCTAATATTGTTTTATCACCAAAATCTGGATCAGGACCTGTATTCACTTTCAGTGTGGGTCTGTCATGTCCATTTTCTTAAAATGATGTATAATCATAATTTAAAGTTACGTTTGCCAAAAATAGCAGAAAAACAAAGAGCTTGTTTTTCCTGGTCTTTTCCTCTTTAAATTTTATTTCTTCTTAGACAAAATGCATTTACACCTTTTTGTCTTTTCATTCTTCTTAATCTATTCTTCTGTAAAGTGCATACATATCTGAGCAAGAATGAAGCCTCTTAAATAAGGACAAAAGCTTGAATCCATCCTTTAGGGGGCTCTACTCTGCTTCAGCTTTGCCCTTCCCCATGGGGGTCAGGATTTTGCAGGACCAAGGGGGCATGCCAGGCCATCACCTGTGACCTCCCCTTCCTTTCTAGACCACTTTTTTCAACCCTCAGTTCTCTGACCAAGTAACTCTGATCCCATTTCCTGGGCCTGTATAGCCATTTTTCCCAGATTCATTCTCCTAAGGGTTGATGAGAGGTATAGGCCAACAGGGTAACTCAGAGGAAGCAATTTCCAGAGGGGTGTAGAACAAGCTTACAGATGGCCTGGGATGTTCATGGGTAAGTTTATAGGCCCCCATGTTAAAGAGTGGAACTATGGGTGGGAAAAGAAGTAAGGTGGGCTACTGGCCACAGCCTGGGGTCTGGCTCTCCTCATACTACCATGGCCATGAATTCTGGCCTAGAATTCTCATTTGAAATCTGTCCCCCCGCGTTGTTTTGTAGATATGTCAAGGAAAGAGAATAGAACATGTTTTGTTTATCATACTTCAATTTACTTGTAATTTTTCATGTCTAGATATAGTACCGGTATATAGGCCTCTATTTGTACTCTTGCCCTTAGTCCCACAGATTAAGGGCAAATCTGTTCAGAGCTGCTTTTTGGCAGCTTCTCTTTTTCTTAATGTCTCTTTAAGTTACATTTTCAGCAGCATGCACAAGAACCTTTCTTTCCCCAAAGGTACTTCTTCAACTCCACAACCACTCTCAGACCATAAACGGTGGCCCCAGACTCAGATCTGATGAATTATGAATAAATGAATTATTTTTCCCAGCATGAAATTAAATAATATCTGATAAATTCCTTTTGCTAATTCATTGTTTCCTTGAGGCTCTTTTGGTTTTGGTTTTTGTTTTTTTTTAGCTGTATATGATGTAGTGGAAGAAAAGCTAGAAAATGAGCCAGACTTCCAGTACATTCCTGAGAAAGCCCCACTAGATAGTGTCCACCAGGATGACCATTCCCTGCGAGAGTCAATGATCCAGCTAGCTGAGGGGCTAATCACTGGAACAGTACTGACACAGTTTGATGTAAGTAACATTGTATGGAAAAGATGTTTGCTCATATTTTCTGATTAATTTCATGGCTTCTTAACTGCATAATCTACTATAATCTGTAAACTATATCAGCTATAATTTGTAAACTAAAATGTTATTCTGAGAAATATTTGGCATAAAAAAGAGTTCTAAAATGCAAAGTTTTAAAAATTGCTTCCAAAATACTAGCCATGGTTTCATAACTAGATGTCTGTTTACGAGAGAGGGATAAGGAGATTTTATAGGTATGTCATCAAACTACATTTTTTCTGTAATTAAATAACTGTTGGAGATGAAGATAAACTACTATAGACTTAAAAATCTCGAGTGAAAGAAAATAATTTTTGTGCCTTGTCATATTTAATCCTTCTCTAAGTTTTGTCAGTGTAGTTAACCATCATTAAATATTTGTTGCTCTGAAGCATATGTTATAGATAAGTGACCGAAAAATATTTGTGACTATCAAATATTTAGGGTATATCCATGTTACTTTTAAACATCTCTATAAACTAAATAAAAGCTAGATGTTTTTTGCAGATTTACTATTCAAAATGTCAGATAATTTTGCTGCAAGCAAAATTGTTTTTATTTGTTTAACCATTTTTCAAAATATATATAATTCATGTCAGAAATTGTGCAGAATTTAGCTTTGCAAATCTGGTTCAGTACTCTGCTAACCTAAGGCACATCATTGTATAGAGGAGGTATTCTAAGGAAAAAACCTGTTTCTTGATAGTATAGAAACAAGTCTGAAAAACAAAACAAACTCTTGATGGCTTTCTGGACTCGTCTTGTACTTTTTTTTTAGCAACTATATCGGAAAAAACCTGGAATGACAATGTCTTGTGCCAAATTACCTCAGAACATTTCCAAAAATAGATACAGAGATATTTCGCCTTGTAAGTATCTACCCTCTCTGTATGTTAAGCTTAATCTTTTTAACATATCTTTATTAAAACATTCTTTCTTTTAAATTTTTTCAGATGATGCTACACGGGTGATTTTAAAGGGTGATGAAGACTATATCAATGCAAATTATATAAATGTAAGTTGTTTTTAAATTATGCCTTTGTCATTCGGAATAAGAGGCTGCTATAAACTTTGAGATTTATTCCTTTTTGTTTAAAAACCTCTAAGAGAATTCTAAAACTTCCAGGTATTGAAAAATTTATAAAATTACTACTTAAAGAAATACTTTTGGTACTGTTATGTTAATATACACATAAATCACTGGAATAGAGTAGTCCAGAAATAGACTGCAGTAAATACTAGAATTTTGTTTATGGCACAGATAGTCTTTTAAATCATTGACAGTGAGACAGACTATTTGAGGAGTGGTTTAGGTCAACTATCTAGAATATATCATTATAAGAAGGTGTTTCCCCCCTTCTGGGGGAAAAGAAGGATTATTGCTTACTTTTTTTTTCACTTCATAATACAGAAAATTTAAAATATATAAAAATAGAGGAAAAGGTGAAATGAGACTTCATATATAACATCACTCAGCTTCAACAATTGTGAGTTCATGGCCAGCTTTGTTTCACCTATACCCCTACCCATGCCCCCACACGTGCAGATTGTTTTCAAACAGATCCATACATCATGCTATCTATAAATACTTCACTCTTGATGTCAACATATATTCTAGACATATCAAAATATTAATGTGAAAAATAGAATCATGAAAAAACTTGGAGGAAATATGGGAGAATTATTTAAAGTCTCAGAGAAGAGGTTTTTCTAACTTGAGAAACATCTAAGCTATAAAGAAAAGATTGATGAGTTCGGCAGTATAAAAATTTCAATTTTGGAGATGCTTAGAAGGTGCTAAAATCAAATGACAAACCGAATTTTTAAAAATACTACAAAGGACTTATTTTTTCAATATACGAAGAGCTCTATAAGTGAATAAGAAAAATAAATACAGTGCAGTGAAAATAATGAAGGATATGCAAAGACAATTCATAGAAAAAGGAAAGCAAATGACATTTTTTGAAAAGTTTATGGCCATTTTCAAGCCTGTACAAAAGTGAGAGAATAGTATGAAGAGCTTCCCTTCAGAAACCTGTTGCCCAGCTGTAAATGGGTAGTCTTGTTTCATCTAAACACTACCCCTGAATTATTTTTTTAAGCTTAAATATATCTCTTTGTTTGGTTATAGATAGTCAGTTCTTGTTAATGGCAACAATTACAGTCTATAAAGTCTTCATGAACACAGAATTAGCAAATACTGAATCATCGCTCCAAGGGGAAATGGAGGGTTATCTCACCTGAGCCTCTAACTGCATCATTTTGTCAGCTGATCAATACATAACCTTGTTTCTGTTTTAAGGAACTTACTTAATACACACAGCCAACAGCACTATAATTCATGCCTGAAGGAAGCTTATCTAACATTATGTATAATGCATAAGGCACATCACGGCCTTCTTGCACTTCAAAATACTAGATAGCACGACCCTTGGGGACAGTTTTAAACAGTGAAATCCCCAATAACAAGCCCCCAAAATAAAAAAACATGGTCCTAAATAGAACGGAAAAACACTTGTTTACAGTATTAGAGGAGAAACAAGAAAGCAGAAAGGCATCTTGGGCACATTTCTAGCTAATACTGTATGTCGGGTGACTCAAAATTTTTCAAGTCTTTGGACATGTCTGCAGATAACCACAAACACCCTGAAGTGTCTTGGGGTTACAAGTAAATCTTAGCAAGTAGGCAAATTTGCAAAATACAGAACACATGAATAATGAGGATCTACTGTTTTAGTATACACCTCTGATAAGGACTTTTTTTTTACACTTAGAAAAATAACAGTAGCAAACAGCTAAATGAATATGCTCAACTTAATTCACAAAAGGTACAAATCAAAACTGCAAGGAGTACCAGTTTTCACCTATTGGATTGAAATATCAAAAAGCTTGATAATACTGTATACAAGTCTATATCCTTTAGCTGAAGTCTTGGGTCAAATATACTTTGAGATTCAGAATTTTTTGGATTTTTGAAAGGTTAATCAGTACATGTAACATATTCATAATAAGTAATGTCCCCAGCAGGCTATGGGACATTAGGCTGTAATCAACATACTGGTACTCAGTAGCAAGCAAACTATGGATATCCCCACAAAGTGGAACTGAGAGACTATAAATAGTCTTAATTCTGGTCAGATATTGCTGTCGAATGAGTCCAGATTAGGTTAGGTGTACCAAAAACAAAAAAGTCAGTCTTACACTTCAAACTGAGAGTTTCAGAGTGTGGATAAAGATGAATATATTAAGGAATTTAGTGAGAAACAAGCATTCCTCATACATTTTTGGTGGAAGTATAATGGAGAGTAATTTGGTCCTATCTATTAAACTTTTAAAAGCACATACACTTTGATCCAGCATTCTCATTTCTTCCTCTTGCCCATACAAATATATTTCTTCTTGTGTGCAAAAATGTTAAGATTTACAGAAGTATTCAGTGTGGCATTGCTTGTGGTAGCAGATAGGTTAGCAGCAACTTAAATGTTATATACATTATAGTATATTTATACAGGAGCCATTAAAAAGAATGAAATTTTATGTACTAATCTGACATGATCTCAAAGATAAAGTGGATAAAAGAAACACGATGCAAAACATTATATGCTGCCATTTATATTTTACAGAAAAAAAGGAAGATAGTTTTGCATGTACATTTGTGTGTTGTATATGGAATATCTCTGAAAGGATGTATTAGAAACTAGAAAAAAGATTGCCCTCCTGGGCATAAACTGAAGGCTGGGATGGGAAGGAGACTTCTTTCCTCACCCTTTGGTGAGGAAAATCCTTCCAATTGCCATGTGCTTATGAAACCTTTTTTTTTTTTTTTCAGTTCAGTCTTAAAAATATTATAGGATGATGACTCATCTTCCTCCAAAACTCAGTCTTACTTTCTGAAAATAATGAATTTAAAATATTTTTCTAACATCCTTCATGTTTTATATATATGATATATATAATTATGTATATATCACATTCTATATGTACACACATACATAATGTGAAAATCTAAACTAAAGCAAATGGCAGAATTTTTGCTCCTCACAAATTTTACTAATGTGCTGTTTAGAGACAAATAACTTTTATTTCTGTAACAAGTTTCTGCCTCTAAAACAGGATTCTCTGTAGAGCTGCTCTTAAAACCATAAGAGTGCTTTGGACAATGTTTAAATTCCTGTTTCCACTAATTGAAAGATAAACATGTATAACTACTAGATGTTGCCAAGAAATTTCTTCCACAAATAAAACAAATTGTTGATAAATGTTTCTTTTATTGACTTTGTAATTTATTGACATTGGTTGTATTTAGTTATCATTTACTAGATGATTTTTATATGATTAATCATAGTAAAAAGTAATAATGCAAAAGATTTTGTTTTGTGTCCTTTTCTTTTTAGATGGAAATTCCTTCTTCTAGAATTATAAATCAGTACATTGCTTGTCAAGGGCCATTACCACACACTTGTACAGATTTTTGGCAGATGACTTGGGAACAAGGCTCCTCCATGGTTGTAATGTTAACCACACAAGTTGAACGTGGCAGAGTAAGTCATACTTGAATCTTACACATTGCTTGGACTTTTTAAAATTACGTTGCATATAGAGCTATAACTTTTAAACTTCCTTTCTTACGGCATCATGATTAAAATCATCATGGTTAAGTGCTTAACTGTGACTAACACATAATAAATATGTTACAATGTGATATAACTGTTAGCCATTATTATTGTTACTGTTTAAATGGATTAATGTATACTTTTTGATGAGAGATTTTTATCTAGACTATGTAAAGAACTCATACAACTTAACAATAAAATAACAAATACCACATTTAAAAATGGCAAAAGTATCTGAATACATGATTCTCCAAAGAAGATATTCAGATGGCCAATAAGGTTGTGAAAAGACGCTCAGCATCTTTAGTCATCAGGGAAACGCAAATCAAAGCCACTATGCAGTACTACTTCATATCTAGTAGGATGGCTAAAATAAAGATGACAGATAGTAACAAATGTTGGTGGTGCTGTGGAGAAAATGGAACCCTCCTATACTGCTGGCGGATTTGTAAAATGGTGCGGCCACTTTGGAAAACAGTCTGTCAGTTCCTGAAAAGGTTAGACATAGAGTTACTGTAATCAGCAATTTCACTCCGAGGTATACCTAGGAGAATTAAAAACATAATGTCCACAGAAAAACTTGTACACAAACGTTTATAGCAGCATTATTTTTAATAGCCAAAAAGTGGAAACAACCTGGATGTACCAGATAAAATGTAGTATATTCATACAGTAGATTATTTTTTGGTAATAAAAAGTATGAAAAAATGATACATGCTACCACATGGATGAACCTTGAAAACATTTTGCTACATGAACAAAGTCAGTAACCAAAGACTATGTGTTTTATGATTCCATTATATGTAATGTCCAAAATAGACAAATCCACAGGGGACAGAAAGTAGATTAGTGTTGCCTAGGTCTGGAGTGGAGGAAGCAAGGTGGCATAGAGGAATACACAGTGATTACTAACGGGTATGGGGTTTCTTTTGGGAGTGATAGAAATGTTCTAAATGTGATTATGGTAATAGTTACACAGCTCTATGATTATACTAAAAGCAATTGAATAGTGTACTCTAAATGTGTAAATTGGATAGTATGTGAACTATATGTCAGTAAAACTTTTTTTAAAAATCCTAATTATGAAAATAAATGGGATTGCATTTGGCATTTTAATTGAAAATTCTTTCTCATTGTTAACTTAAATCTAAGAAATATCAAAATTAGTACACCATTTTGCCACCTGGTAATAATTACTTCAGGCAAGAATTAATCATGAATGGTAAAACATTGGGTGGAAGGTTGTTAGAAACAGGATATTTGTAGTCTCAAAATCTATGCAAACAGATTATTACTACAAAGGAAAAAATGACAAGGAAAAAACAATGTTAACTAGTTGGCAGATCTAGATTAAGGAGTATATGAGAGTTTATGAAATTATTCTAACTTTTCTGTAAGTTTGAAAGATCTTAAAAATTAAAACATTAAAAAAATTGGAGAACCTAAGTTTTGTATGTTTCTAAAATCTATTGATATCAGGTTAAGTGTCACCAATATTGGCCAGAACCCACAGGAAGTTCATCCTATGGATGCTACCAAGTCACCTGCCACTCAGAAGAAGGAAACACTGCATATATCTTCAGGAAGATGACACTGTTTAACCAGGAGGTAGGAAGACAGGATATCTATTTATTAGAACTGTTATGTTCAAGGTAAAGTCTTTGAAAGATAAAAATGTTTTTAGTCTGAGTCCTGGTCACTAGAAGAAATTAAAAATTGCTGAACTATTTGCTTTATTGGGGTTCTTTGGAATCTTATGAAGTATGTTCTCCTACTATAATAAATTTATTTCTAATTTCCAAGGTAAATATGAATGATCAGTGAAAAAATAATCTAGTAAATAGTACTTATTACTCAATACTTTTCCTATTCATAAAAATTATACCAAGGTTGTTGGTTATAAAGATTTAAGTAATATCGGTGAAGTATTGGAGTACATTTGTAGGAACTGAAAGAACAATTGAAAGCTATCAAATTATTACCCTGTTTTAAAAGAGTAGAGGAGAGCAATTTTACAGTCTCCTCAGTATTAAGAAGGAAAAGATCGTAGCCAGGACCCTCTGGCATCAGACAGATCATAACTTTCTAATTTTTAGTTTTTCTTACTGCTAACTGAGTCACTCCACTTGACATCCAAATCCAGAGTCAGAAATGGAAACTGTTTAATAAATGATGGCTCAGTAACCCAATTGGAAGATGTGTGTGGAGAGCAGCATGCTGCCAGTCTTGTCAGGCTGCTAGAGACAGTGCACCCTACTTTCAATGCTTACACCAGCTACCTTTGATTTTGAAGGGGACTAAAAGAAGAAAGAAGCAATTGCTAGGGAAGAGCAAACAGCCCATGCTATGAAGGCCCAGGCCTGTCCCATCAATAGTTATGCCTTTGGAAATGAGAGCTTATCTCCCCTGGCCCCACTCACACACTGCCCGTACCACACCTCCTCCCCGAGTGTGATCAGAGAAGTCCAGCAAGACAGGGCCTTAGACCAAAAAAGGAAGGAGCTAGAAGTTGTGCTGATATATATTAAAGGAATTTGACACTAAATAAAGCTAAAGTTACAAGAAATAAAAAATTGAAGTTTCAAAATCTTATGGGTTAGAGATATTATCAGAATTCATTTTGGGTTCAGGGACATGTACTGTATAGCTTATGGTCTAATGTAACAAGTCAAGGCAATAAGCTATTTCCTCATTTCCTAAATAGATATGAAAGATAAGTTACACATGGTTACATAAAATGATGTGTATACCTTCATCCAAGTCCCTGTATTATCCTCCACCTATAGATTATCCATGGAAGTTTTTTGCTACCATAAATACATATGTACGTGGGTGAATGAATGGACAGACAGACAGACAGATGCTACCCCAAAACTTAATAAAATATACTTTTATATTACCCATTCTTATACATTTTTGGTACCATTAAATTCTTTTGTTAGGAATAATAGTCAAAGGTAGTTTGTATTAGATACCTTCAATTCATCTGAAAAATTAGTTATCAAATTAAACTGAAATGTCTTTGGGAATTCTTTCTTGATTACCTTTTACTTTCATGGTCTTTTCTGGAAGCTCCCTTTAGTGTAAAGTATAATAACCAGATTTCATAGTGTTGAATGATTATAGCTACTAATTGTTGAGTATATGATTCCAAACAGCAGATTGGGTGATTTACAGGTCCTCTCACTGAATCCTTATGACATAAGACTGTCCCTTTGAGGTGTAAATGTTATTTTGTTTTTCAGTTGAAGAAAGTGAAGCTCTAAGTTATTGTCTTAACTGGCAAAGTTGAGATTTGAACCCAGATGCTTATAGGTACCCAGATATATAAAGTATATTCAGTAACCTTACTTTCTCCATTATATGAGCCCTTGGCTCCCCAAAAATAATTAAGTCAAGATTTGAAAATTGACTTATAAGAAGAGTAATAATCCAAGTGACTAATACTTAAATGGTTACAACTGTTCTATAAAATGGTTTCTTTCCTTTTCCCTGAACTGTTGGGTTTTATTGAGTTTATGTATTACTTTTGGGAGCGGGTAATGAGAGTAGTTTCTTCTGCTTTTCTTCTAAAATTAAAATGACAGGAATATTTATTTATATTTTAAGAATTATTTCTAAATCAAGATGCATAATTTTTCATTTACACTTAGAAAAATGAGAGTCGTCAACTCACTCAGATCCAGTATATAGCCTGGCCTGACCATGGAGTCCCTGATGATTCGAGCGACTTTCTGGATTTTGTTTGTCATGTACGAAATAAGAGGGCTGGCAAAGAAGAACCTATTGTTGTTCATTGCAGGTATTTTATTTTCTGTCTTTTATGATTGAGTAACTGACTAGCTATGTCATTTTTCAAGGGGAATATTTTGTTCTTAGGTTGATATTGTCACTACAATTATCAGAGAGAACTCAAAGCTATGCTCTGAAGGTAGAAGGCAAAGGGTATGTTCTAAGATATGATTGGCAGAAACTTTATCGTAAGAAGTAAAATTAATGCTTACTGCACTGATTCTTAGAAACTTGTCTTTTTCATAAACACCTCTGAAATTTGATTGTATCTTAAACTTAATTGTATCTTAGATTTGATGAAATACAGTATTGTACGAATTAGGCTGCAGCCTAAGTTTTGGAATTCCCCCTACCAGCAGGGTCCTCCTTCCTAGCCTATGGCCCCTCTTACGACTTATGGTGAGTATCTCACTTCTCTTGAGATGGCCCTGCCCAGCAAATACTGTCACAGAATGTGCTGCTTCCACGAGCCCCAGGTGAACAGTAGCAGACGACCCTCCCTTCCTTTCAGACTCAGGCCCCCGTCTGCCCTCGACAGACCAAATACAATGACTCGAGCCTTACTGCCATCAACCCAGAGATTAAGAGCCTGAAATTTTCTCCTTATCCTGGCCACCTCTGTTAATAAGTGATTTATTTAGAGGATGTATTAAGGTATCTCTTTATCCTTAAACTTCCCAGCACTTTTCAGGAGCAAACTTTCAAATCATCAAAACAGATTGTAGACCAAATACTTGAGAGGCAAAATGGCAGGAATGGTGTACATATTTGGCCATTTCATGTCCTTAGTCCCCAGTAGCTTCTATATCCACATTCACAGAGAATACTTCAAAATGTTGTTCCTAACTAACTCATTAATGGGTTTAATCAAAATTAAATTTGGTTTTAAAAATGATTTTTTGAGCATGTTTAATAGTTATCTTTTATACATTTGTTAATGATTTATTATTGTAGTTCTCTTATTTTGGCTTTAAAGGGAGTTGCTCCAGTAAGCTTCTATACCTTGTTCAGATTTTAAAAACTGAAATATAGTTCTTTTAAAGCAGTATTTTTACAACTAACAGTGAAGGAGGGGGTGGGTGCAAACCATTTAACTTGTATTAAGTGTGAACTTTTTTGGTTTTCAAAATAGTTTCTAGTTGGCTTACTACTTTTGTTAATATGAAACATTAAAATCAAATTGTTCTTCTACTGTATTATGATTCAGTACTTTAATGTTCTGCACAAAGTGCACAAGATATTTAACAGAATAGTATCAGTAAGCCCCATATTTTTGTCTTTTTTAGTGCTGGGATTGGGAGAACCGGGGTTCTTATTACTATGGAAACAGCCATGTGTCTCATTGAATGCAATCAACCAGTTTATCCACTAGATATTGTAAGAACAATGAGAGATCAACGAGCCATGATGATCCAAACACCTGTAAGTACAAGTGTGTATTCTCAACATGATTATTTTTATCAGTGAATATTCCAAACCATATTTATCTCTTTGTAATTTCCTGCCAGAAGCTAAAAACCCTAGTGCAGGAGCCAAACCTGGTCCACTGCTTATTTTTATAAATAAAGTTTTATTGGAAGCAATCATGCTCATTTATTTATATATTGTCTATGGTTGGTTTCACATTACAAAGCAGAGTTGAGAAGTTGCAAAAAAGCACCATGTGATAGTAAAACCTAAAATATATACCATCTGGTCTTTTACAGAAAATGTTTGTCAGCAGCACCCTAGCATGTTAATTTTTGACTGTCGATAAACAGGTGCAGAAGACGAACTTGCCCTGTGTTACTTAGTCAAATGGAATGCTGAGAACGATAGCATTCCTAAACTGGAGATTCTTGATAGACCTGCTTTCAGTAAGGCAGCTATGGTGAAATTGCCTTTCTTTTTTACATAAGAACTTAAATTGCAACAACAAAAATCATGGAAATTAAGCTACTAACTTACTGACTCTGAATTATTTTCTAAAAATCAAAAGAGGAATTATGGAATTTTAGAGTTAATGTTAAGATTATTTTTTATATGGAGCCATTGTGAAATGTTAGCATTAAGGTTACTGAAGTGAATTGATCTATGTGATTTAAAAAGTGCCTGTCATTTTTTTAGTTTTTAATTGTAGAACATTTCAAACGTACACAAAAACAGGCAATATAATACAACAAATACTATGCTGAGTACTCAGACCCAACATTTGCCATAGTGTTTCCTTTATACTGCCACCTACTCTTTTCATATTTGAAACAAATCTTAGATATCAAATCATTTTGCCTATAAATATTTTAGTGTGTATCTCTAAAAGATAAGGAGTGTTTTTCCTTCTAAACAAAACCACAATACCATTATCACACCAAATTATAATTAACAGTACTAACCTAATACTAACAATAGCGAATATTCAAATTTCCAGTTGTCTCATATAAATCATGTCTTTAAATTTCAGAGAAGCTTCATTAAAATATAATCCACATACCATAAAAGTTACCCTTTTTCAAAGTGAACAGTTCATTGGTTTTTAGTATATCACAGAGCTTTGCAACCATCATTGCTATCTAATTTTAGGACATTTTCATCACCCAAAAAAAGGCACTCTGTACCCATTTTCCTTCACACCTTCCCCAGCCTTCCCCCAGCCCTGCCCTAGGCAACCAACTGTCAGTCTACTTTTCTATCTCTATACATTTTTGCCTGTTCTCGACCTTTCATATAAATGGAATCATACAATTTGGTCTTTTGAAATTGGTTTCCTTAAATTAGCACAATATTAAAAGGTTTATACATTTTGTGGAATATATCAGTACTTTTTTCCTTCAATAATATTTCACTGAATAGATATATCATATATTCAAATGTTGATGGGCATTTAGATTGTTTCCACATTTTGACTGTTATGAATAGTGATGCCATAAACATTTGTGTATATGTTTTTGTGTGAAAACGTTTTTATTTCTCTTGGGTGTATACTCAGGAGTGGAATTCCTGGGTCGTACGGTAACTCTGTCTAACCTTTTGAGGATCCCCCAGACTGTTTTCCAAAGCAGCTACAGTAATTCCCCTGGCAGTGTAGGGGGGTTCCATTTTCTCCACATCATTGTTATCACTTATTATTACCTATCTTTATTGTAGCCATGCTATTGAATACAAAGTGGCCTTGTGGTTTTGATTTGCATTTCTGTAATAACTTATGATATCAAGCATCATTTCATGTGGCCATTTATTTGTATATCTTCTTTGGAGAACTGTCCAAATCTTTTGTCCATTTTTCAATTTGGTTTTTTGTCATTTTATTGTTGAATTGTAAGAGTTCTTTATATTTTCTAAATACAAGTCTCTTATAGATCTATAGTTTACAAATGTTTTATGCTGTTTGTTCACTTTCTTGATTAAGTCATTTGAAACACAAAAGTTACTTTGATCAAGTCCAGTTGTGTGTGTTTGTTTTTAATCACACATACTTTTGGTTAGCTAAGAACTCATTACCTAACTTAAGATCACAAAGATATACTCCTCTGTTTTCTTTCAAGAGTTTTATAGTTTAGCTCTCACACTGAAGTGTCTGATCCATTTTGAGTTAATATTTGCACATGGTTTGAGGTAGGGTTCTAACTTTGTTCTTCTGCATATGGATATACAGTTGTCCCAACCCCATTTGTTAAAAGGACTATTCTTTCCCCATGAATGGTCTCTGGGTCCCTTGTCGAATATCAGTTGACCACAAATGTAAGGGTTTATTTCTGGACTTTCAGTTGTATTCCATTGATTTGTATGTCTGGTCTTACGTTAATACTCACTGTTTTGATTACTCTAGATTTGTAATATCTGCATTACTCTGTGCATCTGCCAACTCTGTTCTTTTTCAAAACTGTTTTCACAATTCTGGGTCCCTTGCATTTCCATATGAATTTTAGAATCAGTTTGTCCTCTCTGCAAAAAAAGCACAATAGGAATTGTATTAAATCTGTAGATCATTCTGGGGATTATTGCCATCTTAATGATATTCCATCTTCCAAAGCATTAATACAAAATGTCTTCCCATTTATTTATGTCTTCATTAATTTCTTTCAACAGTGTTTTGTAGTTTTCAGTGTGCAAGTCAGGTACTTGTTTTGTTAAATTTATTCTTAAGTTTTTTAGTCTTTTTGGTCCTATTCTAAGTGAACTTATTTTCTTAATTTCATTTTTGGACTATTCATTGCTTGGGCATAGAAATAAAACTGATTTTGCATATTAATCATGTATCCTGCAACTTTGCTGAAATCATTTATTAACTCTAACTTTTTTTGTATGTGTGAAAGTAAATTCCTTAGGATTCTTTTTATACAAGATTATGTTATTTGCAAATAGAGATAGTTTACTTATTTCTTTCCAATATAGATGCCTTGGTTTTCTTTTCCTTTTTGTCTTATCTCATCTTATCTTATATTATTTCTTCTCTTCATCTGCCCAAGTATCCTGGCTAGAACCTCCAGCACAGTGTTAAATAGAAGTGCTAAAACCAACCATCCTTGTCTTGTTCCTGATCTTAGGGGTACAGTTTTCTGTTTTTCACCACTAAGTATCATATTAGCCATGGATTTTTCATTAACACCCGTTTATCAAGTTGAGAACATTTTCTCTGTTACTAGTTTGTTGAGGATTTTCATCATGAAAGGGTGTTCAATTTTGTCAAATGCTTTTTCTGTATCTGTTGAGATAATCATGTGGTTTATGTCTTTTAATGTAATGCGCTAGATTGATTTTTGGATGTTAAACTAACCTTTCATTCCTGAGATAAATCTTACTTAGACATGGTGTGTAATTCTTTTTATACATTCCTTGACTTGATTTGCTAGTATTTTCTTGAGGTTTTGTATCTATATCCATCCATACATACATAATAGATTTTTTACTTTTTTTTTTTACATTTTTTATTGATTCATAATCATTTTACAGTGTTGTGTCAAATTCCAGTGTTAAGCACAATTTTTCAGTCATTCATGGATTTTTTACTTTTAATTGTAGGAAAATACACAATATAAAATTGACCATCTTAACTATTTTTAAATATACAATCCAGTAGTGTTAAGTATATTCACCTTATTGTAAAACCAGTCTCTAGAACTTTTTCGTCTTGCAAAACTAAAACTCTATACCCATTTAACAACAACTGTCCATTTTTTTCTCTCTTAACCCCTGGCACCCACCATTCTACTTTCTGTTTCTATAAATTTGACTACTGTAGATACATCTTATAAGTGGAATCATACAGTTTTTGTCTTTTGTGACTAGCTTATTTCACTTAGCATAATATCCTCAAGGTTCATCCATATTGTAGCGTGTGTCAGAATTCCCTTTCTTTTTAAGGCTGAAAAATATTTAATTGTGTGTATAACCACATTTTGCTTATCCTTTCATTTGTTGATGGACATTTGGGTTGTTTTCACCTTTCAGTTTATTGCTAAATAATGGTACTATGAACCTGGATGTATAAATATCTCTTTTAGACACTGCTTTCAATCTTCTTGGGTACATACCCAGAAGTCAAATTGCTGGATCATTTCATATATCATGAGTTTTGGTTTTGGTTCCTACAGCTTGTGTAAAGTCAGGATTCAGATATGGTCCGCACATTTGGAGTGATTTATATGTCTCCTAAATCTCCTTTAATCTGTGTCTTCTTCATACATCTTTCTTCTTTTTTCTTGCCATTTACTTGATAAATAAACCAGGTTGTTTGTGTTGCATATTTTCTCATAGTCTGGATTTTGCTGATTGCATTCCCAAGATGGTGTTCTTTATATTTCTCAGAAGTGGTAAATGGGTCTGTAGGCTTTAGCAGCTCAGGTGGTAATTATGTTCTTCCTTCAAGAGGTACATGATGTCTGTGCTTTCCTTTTTGTGATGTTAGCAGCCTTGAGTGATCAATGTCTTCATTATTAATTCATTGGGCTTGCAAAATGATAATATTCTATCATTCTTTTTTTTTTATTAGTTGTAATACTTCTTTAAAGAGAAACCTCTCATCTGCTATTTGGTTAACCAATGGTACAATCTGTACAGGCAAGACAAGATAAACGCTTGATGCTTTCCCTTTAGTTACGAGTTTTCAATATAATGAGTTGGTTCATTGCTCTCTCTCAGTGGTGAACATTTACTTTTGTTTGTTTTGGTATTACTTTTGAAATCATGGATTTAAACATATGTGATGTGTTTCAACCCATTGTAATTATTTTTCTTTTTTTCAAAACTATTTTATTGTTGTATAGATTTATAATGTTTCAGGTATACAGCAAAGTGATCCAGTTTTATATATATATATATATATTATTTCTTTTTTGGATTATTTTCCATTATAGTTTATTACAAGATATTGAATATAGTTCCCTGTGCTATACAGTAGGTCCAGTTATTTTTCTTAGTGATGCCTAAAACTGTTCCATTTTTGGTCATGGGAGTCTATTCAGCCTAGCTCCTGAGGCTAGTAACTTTGATAGCTTCCTTGCTATCTGTAAAGATATTCAGACGCCACCTTGTACATTTCCTGCCCCAGACTCAGAATCAATAATTTCTCCAAAAGGCCCTGGTTCTTTTTATTGGGAAATTATTTAGGGACCACCTTCTAAGCACTAGGGGTTTTTATTGCTGTTGGGTAAATGTTAGTAATTGTCTCTGGAAATCTTCAATTGCCAGAGACAGGAAAACAAGCTTATCATGAGTTAATATTGGTGCTTCCAATACAGATTCAGACCACAGTGTTTTTACTTACAATTTTCTTTTTTTTTTCCTTTTACTTTCTTTTTTCTTATTTTTTTCTTTTTCTTTTTTCTTTTATCGAGGGGGAAAGTAATTAGGTTTACTTACTTATTTTTTTAGAGAAGGTACTGGGAATAGAACCCAGGAATTTGTGTATGCTAAGCATGAGCTCTACCACTTGAGCTATATCCCACCCCATCCCCATTGCCATTTTCTACTTACGTCTTCATCTCTTTTCTTCTTTAATGTGAATGGTGGTTCTCTACAATACCAGAAATGAAAGAGTTAGAATATCACAAGTACGCTTTTGTTTTATTCCATATTACCCAGTAACAGTCTCAGAATAATGAAACAAACAACTACAACTACCAACAGTATAGTTACCAAAAAGAATTTTCAATTTTTCTGCAGTTCTTTTTGCTTTGGGATAGATAATCTACAAGAGACATATAGCAAATTACTGTTTCAGGGTCCTTTGAAATAGCTCCTCTCTATGTGGTTGTGCCATCAACTAGATACATTGATTTGTCTCATGTTATTTTCAATTTATAGAGACTTTTAAAATTAATGTTTTAATTATGGGATATCTTTACATGGTTCCGAATTAAAATCTATAAAAGAAGGAAGTACATTCAATGAAGTCTAGTCTCTGTCCCTGTCCTACACCCTATTCACTCCTTTTCTTTATAGGAAGTCTTTTTTTTTTAATGATTTATTCTTCCCTCCCTTTTTTCTTAACATATATATTAAGATAGATTCATATTTGTATCCTCCCCCTGCTTTCTTTTATAAAGATAATGTATTCTATGCACTTTTCTCTACCTTGCCTTTTTCACTTAATGAAATATCCTGGATTCATTGTATAGTAGTCTGTAGACTTTTTTCCTTTTTACCCAAAATAGATAGGATTCCACTGTGAGGATGTACCAGATTAGATTACTTACCTAGTACCTTACTGATGACAATTTGAATTGTTTCTACTTTGTTGTTATTACAAATAATGCAGCAGTGAATAGCTTCAGTTATGAGTAAATGTTTTCAGTTTCTTTTTCTAGTTTATATATTGGATAGATTCCTAGAAGTGAGATTGCTGGGTCAATATGAAAACTATTGTAATTTTGTTGGATGCTACCAAACTTCCATCCATAGGGACTGCAGTGTTTTACATTCCTCATAGCAATGGATGAGTGAGTTTTGCCAACAAGATATTTTGTCACACTTTTATTTTTTGCCAGTCTTTTGGTGAAAAGTGGTATTTCTTGTATAAACAAGCCAAGTGAGATGTTTGTTATTTTTTTGCTTGTGTTTTAGTTTTTCTGATCAATTCTGCTTTTTATTTTTTATTTTTCAGAGTCAATACAGATTTGTATGTGAAGCTATTTTGAAAGTTTATGAAGAAGGATTTGTTAAACCTTTAACGACATCAACAAATAAATAAGAAAACAAAGATCTGGGATATGTGTTGGAAAACTGCTTTCCGTTCACTGTGCCATAATACTGCTTGCAGGAAATGGCATCTGAACAAAAAATTGAAGAACTAACAAAAACTGAAAACTTCAGCACTGTTGCACTTTATGTTATAAAAAAAAAGTCACTCTCAAAGTCAATAGTTCATGTGTTTGAAGACTATTTCATGCTTTGCTCCGAACAAATAGTGAATAACTGAGTATGTTCAGGGTAATTTATGAAATCTTGTGGTGGTGCCATGCAGTCCCCTTTGGTAGAATTGCCACAAACAAGGGTCAGAATTATCATCTCTGTTATACAACCTGTAGCTTACAAGCAAAAGGAAGTAAACATCAGGAGTCAGCTCTGATGTTTTCCAGTGATTCATGTACTTACTATACTGATTACCAGATTTTATTTTTTAAATTTTAGCAATATCATTCTCAATATTAGCCAATACACTGCCTATGGATGCAGCACATCTTTCCCTACACTCCCCCTGTAGAGACCTGCTGTTCATAAGAAGAAAGATGGAATTTGCTTTTCCCAGGAAATGCTGCACATTGTCCATTTACCAGCATCTTATAGAAGGTATAAATATGAATCTACAAATTTTCTTGAATTTAGTAATGTAACTTATATTTATCATAAGGTTGGCTTATTCCAAATCATGTGATTTCACATACTTGATGTAAAGGAATGCATGCATTGTGTCTTAACCCCTTAAGTGCCTTGAGACATCTTTGTATGTCTAATGAAAGGCACTCATTTGACCCCACTAGGAGGTATGTATGTATATTGTACATTTACAGTTTTATGCAGTTTAAATCAGTTCACATTTTTAAAAATAGCTTCTTGTATGGAGAGTTATACAGTCAAAGGAGGGTAAAGAAATTCTATTTCTTACTCAATTCCTGTATTTTGCCACAAGAAGCCAAGATGATTTGTGTTCTACTGAGTGAGCGCTCTGCTGCTATGGAATTATTCGAAATCTGCACATTCCTTTCCTGAGGGACAAGGGTTACAGTTTAGCAGCTCAAGTTAAAAGATGCTTTATTCTGCAAATTTCATATTTATTTTATCCCTAACTTTAGAAATGGCATCTAATATACACATTAAAGTTAAACCTACTGATACTCTAAGCTAAAGATAGAGCAGGTAATTGTGATTTATTTCAGTCACTAACTAAATTATTACTCTTCAGCATTCATTTCAGTTCATATCAGGCTTTGTTCACGATGGTCTGTTGGCTGGGATACTACATACAAGGAATGAAAACTTACTGAATTATTTCTAAATGTGATCCCTCAATAACTGAAATGAGGGTTTTCTTGTCATTTAGTGTACAAATAAATTTCTCCAGTTTATATATACTTATTAAGTTATAAGCATGTTAATATGGAGAGTTGATTGTCCAGCCTGATGGGGATCTGATTCCCTTTAAGGATGTGTATATTTTCCTCTTCAGGTTTTTTTTATTTTTAAGTCTACAGAGAGATAGAAGTTTAAAATTGCCCAGTTTTAATATAAGTGGAAATTTTCTCAGCTATTGAAATGTTTTATTACACAATTATTTTATATAGATTATGGTTAAAATAGATTCATTTACTAGTGGTTTCTGAATATTTCTGTATAGTCTTGATAAAATTTAGAGTTGAGTGGTAGATATTTTGGAATGTCATTTAGTATGAGGGGAAAGATGTACATTTTAAAATCCTAAGTATACTCTAAATGATGTTATTTCAAATATTCAAAATCCATAATTGTAAATTTTAGGAAGTTAAGTCCTAAACATTAATAGCCAAGATACCAAATAAATTATTGTATTAAAATATTTTACCTTTTTTTTAAGAGAAAAGTAAGCATAACCTTTATGTCTCAAAGAGAAATTCTCTTACCTATTTCTGGATTTCACAGTCAAGACAGTATAAAATAGAAAATAACTACATACAGTCTCATTTGAACATTCCATTCTCTACCAAAAGATAAATGTAATTTAGGCTGCTATATGACATCATGGTAAGTTGAAAAGTGAAAAAGTAAAATGTTGGGGGTCTACATAATTAATACTGTTTTGGCAGTAGTTTTTCACCTGAATTAAATAGAAAACCTATCCTAACTATATGGATAGAATCTGACAACCGTAGATTAAAAATGTTACAGTTGTATAGATATAAATAGATAAATGTCATAGTTGGCATGTTCTTTTATTTAGGGCTTTGTTTATATTTCTGAGATTAACTCAGTAATTTGTTGGCAATGAGCACTGCTGCCTTTCTTAAATCGTTAATGCCAGTCTTTAAATGATAATATGTTACAAGATTAAAATTACATTTAAATTTCTCATATGTGAATTTTTCATCTGGGAGCGACCGTCTGTTAGTATTTTTATGTACAGAAAAGATCCTTTTTAAAAGACATACTTATTAGGATCTTAACTTTAAAATAAATGATCCTTCACAACTTCTAAAAGTTAATGTGCTAGTATGGTTCTCTGTTCACCTAACAGATAAAACTTTACCCATTATGCCTGAGAATTTTTTAATCTGTTTATCAATCTAAATAGGGTTCTAGGAATAATCCCAGCTTTCATACACCAAGAAGTTCTAGATTCCATTCATATCAATGTAATATTGTGTGGCCAAATTTATTGTATCTCTCCCCTCTACTCTCCCCCTCCAGCAACTAATCTCCCCTTCCCTCCCTCACCCCACCCCCGGCCTCCACACACACACTCAAAAAATCAGTGCTAACTGTTATTCTCACAAGTGGAAACAGATATTGATAAATCAAGGAGCTTTTGTAAATGCTAAGAAATGTTTGTGAAAACCTTTCCTCTTTGACTTAAGATGATTTTACTATGTTCATCTCAGATGTTTTATTGAGTATCTATCTGATTTATATCAGCACTGTGTACATAAGATGAGGAATATTTTGGAATAGACTACATTCACAAGAAGAAGTATTTGTTAAATCAATGCTTCCATTCAAACTAGAAGAAGAGTAAGTAGCATAAGAAAAAATTTCCTTTGGTAGCACAAGTAGGAGGGGAAAAAAGGATTGATCATTCTGATTAAGAGTAAAGAGAAAATTTATATACAAAAACTGATTTCAAGTGTACAAAAGTATGTTAAGCCATGTAGACATTTGCTTGAAGGTTTCAAGTGCTAATATATACACATAGAGATGCTTTTGTGTGATTATATATTTCTGTGTTTCACAAAGGCTAATGCTAACAAACAGGGGTGAAGGATTATTTTAACTATAGAACTGTTTATAATCTGTTGGCAGATCTAATCAAGTATTTAAGCAAAAGTATCCTCTCTCCATTAGAAGCACTACAACTTGACAGCTGAAAGAAACTTGAAAGATTTTATCCAATCTCACCTTCTATATAGGCAATGTATGAATCATAAATCCTTGTGAATTTTAGTCTATTTCAGTTCAAGAATTATACTCAGGCAGTGTTTTTACTTAATAACTATGATGACCTTAGAAGATGTCAGTTAATTTAGAAGATAAGTTGGCTTTAAAAGGAGTCCTATTTAGGACCCTGACTCAGTTTGCTAGTCGTGGTTCCCTGAGAAACAATAGCTTTTGTAAAGTATTTAGGCTGATACACATGCAATATGAAAACATCCTGAAATGCAAATTAGAAGACTAATTTTTAAAAGCAATTAAACATAGAACTAAGATTTACAACGTATGTCCACTTATTACATAATTTATGTTCATAATGTGAACATGGAGTAGAATTAAAGCATTACTTATTCTATAATCTTCTCAGGAAGGGAGAAGGAAACAAGAATTTTTAACTATTCTATTTAATATCTGTGTTTTGAATATTTAAAGATATTCTGATGGTAAGGTTGCCAAAGTAGTTTTGAATTCATAAAAATTATTTATGCCACAATAATGTGGGATATGTTTACATCTCTTTTATTTTGCATTTAAGTCACTTACATTAAGGTCAATATTTGTTGGAACATACATCTCTTAATAGAATGACAAGACAAAGATAAATTATGCCACAGCTTGCTTTTATGTAAACTTCCATCCACAAAGTAACTACTTTATATTAACATTGCTTACTTCGCACATTTGCTTCAGCTCTCCAACTGCAGTTTCTGCAACCATTTTTTTCTGGTGTTTCCTCCAAGGAAAATACCTATGTTTCTAAAACCCACTGAATTAATTTTATAAAATATTAAAATTACTGATCTGCTGGCAAAGATTAAGTGGTGTCTCAGCATGATCAAACATAATTTGTATCAATGTTTTATAAAATTCTTAAGAAAATTATATAGATACAAAGGAATTTACATAATAACAAAACTTGAGGGCTAACTGCTAATAGATTATTTTAGCAATTTTATAAAAAAAGCCCCTGAAATTAATCCCTAAATTGTGTTTTTTTGTGTTCAACTTACTTCACAGTGTTTGCAACTATTTTCAACACAGTATTTTATTATACACGGACTTCACTTCCTCAGTAGCAATTACTACAGTAAGCCTTTCAATGTTATCAAAACCAAGTGCTATTTCAGCCAGATATTAGACATTTTATTTTTATAATCTTTGTGAAGTTATTTTGAGTAGACACCAAATAGTTACTTCTGTTTCTGCATCTAAATTTGCTGCTACTTATTTGTATGTTTTTCTACTGCAGTTTACTGTTGATTTCTAAAGTTTCGTAGTTATTGTTACTTTTATTATAGTAATCCAAGCTATATGGGCAGCCACCCAGAAGTAGGGGTGCAGTCCATCAACGTTCACTTGACATGGTTCAATGCATAACTAAGTAAACCTTTTTTTTTAAATTTACAAAGTGAAAGGTATTAGAATTGTTGCAAGTTAAAGACTACAATTTTGGGAGGAAGTTCTAATGTTTAACTTCCTGTAACCTTTTAGAATTTCTAATATAAGAGTGAAATGTTTGAAAGCCTTGTTATGCTCATAGAAGTTTCAGTTAAACACTGTAGAATTTTCCTACCTATTGTTGTATAAATGATATAGAAAATATTTTTCTATGGACAAAGGATTGAAACTGTAAACTTCTGTTGCTTCATTGTTTAAAAATGAAAAAAATGATATTTGTATGTCTTTCATGCTGTAAAGAAATGAATGTATCTTTCAAATGTTATTAGAATTAAGACTTGATTCTAAGGATATTCTTTAAGAAAAAAGTTAGCAAGAGATTGAAAAAGAAGAGTGTTTTCCACTTCAGTATATAAAATGCAGTTTTAGAAGAAAAATGTAATTTTCTTTATAAACAAGAGCAGTCATTATTGAAGCATATTTGAATATAATGTACCTTCTCCATTTTGTTTTGTGTTAGCTCTAGAATAGAAATTTTCCCCAAAATGTGTACATAACAATTTCTAAGTGTAAAATAATTGAATTCTAGACTTCTGGAGTGTGGAGGGGGTATGTGTGTTAGGGTAAGCATTTTGCCGCATGTGTTTACCATGACTTTGTCACTGTGTCAGCCACAAATGAGGACACCATTCTGAGAGCATGAATGAAGCCAGAAAGTCGCGTCTAAGATTCACCCTCGTAAATATGTGCAGAGGCCCTGATAAATAAATAATCTGCTTTTTATTCTCAGTATCTTGGACAGATAAGACCAGTGAGCCCAACTCTGACTTGTAGCAGTGGTGTCTTATATGTTTAAGGGTTTATTAATTCAGCTGAACAAAAAACAAAAAAGCCCTACATTTCAAACCAACAGACGTGATTCATTTGTTCAACAATTTCTTTAAAAATGATTACTATTTATCATTCATTAAGCTTGACTCTGTGGGATCTTCATTATTTTACTCTTGTTTCCATCCCTCCAACTTATAAAAAATCATTAATTTTTCTTTACAGTAGAGTCTTTGTGAAATAACGTGATATTTTCCTTCATTAACTTTTGTTACACTGTTAAAGGCTTAGTATCAGGCCCCCTCAACCCTGGCAATTTCCAAAATTTAGCGAATATTACTTCTGATAATCGTAACTAAAATATCACATGACTATATGAAATTATCACCATGAAGCCATCAAGGAGACTCAGCCCTACTAACAAATCTTAGACCAAAATAGGTGCTGATTTGAGGTTTCTCTAAATCCACTCACTGTAGTCACACTTGACTCCATTTTACCTTTTATTAAAAGAAGCTTTTTAGTTTCTACTCCTGAATTGTAGTGTTCCAGTTTTTGCCTTCCTGAGCAAGAAAATCTCAACCCAAGTCTGGGATTCTTTGGTATTATTCATCTTTTCCCGCCCTTCAGTTAGTTGACAAGTTTATTCATGCTTTTTCTTGTATTCTCTAGAGTAGGTTGAATTTCGACGCTGAAGTTGATTTCTTGAATTACAAATAGCACTTTATTTCATGCTTACTACTGACTTAATTTATACATTTAAAAATAAAATCTATCCTAGGAGTTTTGTAAATATGGAAAAAAATATAATGGATTAGCATGTAGAGCTCATTGGATTGGACCCAAGTTTAAATGCTTTACAATGATCTCTTGATCATTTGATATTTAAAAGGTAACTTGGGTGGCTTTTCTATAATTTATTTAGTACAATAAAGGCTACCCACTTGACTGTCCTGCTGGACTCTCAGTTCTCTCAGCTAGCTTCAACCAAGTTTGGTTCACTATAATCATTTCTGCTTTGCATTTTTGTACATTGCATGAATACTTGGAAATCCACTTGTTTTGTTTTGAGTTGTACCTAGGTGTTAAGTCAATGCTTCGCCACAAGTAAACTGAAGGAGGCAAAGTCTTGACACTTTATATTCATGTTGAGGGACAGGATTTAAGAGGCTAAAAACAGTTTATATTAAGCTGTTTTCATTTTCTGTCGTTAGAATATGTGCTTACGCAAAAACAACTGTCCAACCCAGTGTTCCTGCAGCATCAGGACATTGCATTACAATCCATATTGTAATCTTTTCAAATAAGAAAAGCTAGCCTTTATTTTCTATAGTGTAGGCTTGATTTTAGGACAGATAGTTTACTATATACTCACCAATGATATTTTTAAGTAATAGTTTTAAAAATAATTATTTCTATGTAGAGGCTATTTTAATTTGGGATTTTTTTTCCTTATAACAGGTGCTAAATGTAAATATAAAGGGCAAAAAGTCATTTAGTTAAGTCTAGTTTATTTCCTAATTAAATTATAATTTTACATTTCTGCTGCCATTTCACGTTTGATTGTACTGAACTAGTAACAAAATGGAATTAGCCCTTAATTTTTAAAATTCTCCTCCCCAATTTCACAAAAATATCTCTTTCCATATGGTTTCCATAGTTAGGAGGTAAAGAAGGTTAGTTAGGTTTCATTTTAAATGTATAAGCTTGAATTTGGTCGACACTGGATAATTTGAAATCATCACTATGCATTTGTCACTGCAGCTTACAATGTGCTTGAAAGGCCTTGTGTATTTGTCTTAATTTCAGTGAAAAATCAGAATTCCTGCAATTGATTTCATGTGAAAAAAATCTATGAATATTAACAGCAAACAGGATAAAAATGTTGATTTGCATCAAAACTGTTGTAGTCCTAAGAGCAATTTATGTTATGTGAAATGCTATTATTATATTTATTATTATACATATTTTGTTGGCCATAATTCATTTTGATTGAGAAATAGTTGTTCAGGTTCAAACGTGAAAAAACTCTAGCTGTGACTTTAAATTGTTCAATTGCAAAATAAAGATGTGCTTTAGTAATTTAAGTATAGGAGTTTTGAAGGTTATTTTATGGGAGTTTTTGTTGTTGGGCTTTTCTAACAATGGTTAGTTATACTCATTAGTGGGTGATCAGAAGAGACCGGCTGAATGCTAAATGCGAAACTTATTTCTAGAATTACTCACACAGCGGCTGTGTTTGGTGGTGGGTCAGTAAAGAATGAAAAGGGATTTAGAAGATTAAAGAATGTCTAATGAGAAGCTCCTCCTTCGCTATGGCCACTGCCTGGTTCATCTCTTCTCCCAGCACCGGCCTCTGAACTTTGATATTCCTAACCTGAGATCTTGTCAGTCTAAGTAAAGGTCATCTCTTTATATTTCTGAAGTCAGCTTGCCTCATATATTCCCCGAGTGCAGTTAGGTATGCCGTTTTACATTTGTAAGAAAATTTCTCGGAGAAAATATGAATGAGTAATTCAAGTAATTTTATATGTAAAGGAAAGCAAAAGTAAAGGTTTATGATTATGCCATGCCTCTGTTCTTATGTACATGATAATAAAACTTCAAGCTGTATTAGGAAGATATGAGAGTAGTTGCAAAAGCCTCTTCCCCATGCCCCGCCCCTAAGGATAGTGCCCCTCAAACCAATGGCAACCTCTGTTAAATTTCTAGTACTTTCTTCTAGGGAAAAAGTGTTGCACAAGCATCTGTGTGAATATATACATTTTGTTAAGGCCAAAGGGATTGTGCACTATGTTTTGCAGCTTGCTTTCTCATCTTGGAAATATTTTCATATCAGCATACTCAGATCTACCTCATTCTTTTTAATCACTGTCTTGTACTCCATCGTATGGATGGATATACCATGATTTCATTTCTTGATGGACACTTGTTTCCAGTTTATACAGTGTTGAAGTGAACATCCTTATGCAGATATTTTCATTAATCATTGCAAGAATATGCATAGGATAAATTTCTAGCAGTAGGATTGCTAGGTCATAGGGCACTTGCATTTTTAAAATTTTAATAATTGCTCTCAGAGAAGATTATATCAGTTTATGCTTTCACCAAACATCTAAGAATGTCC